TTATGAAAATTTATGTATTATTATTATTACATTTGGCTCCTACTTTTTTACCACAGTACATTCTGAATTTTTTTTTTTTTTTTTTACTTTTTACGAACTTATTTTTCTATCTATATAAAATAATAATAATAATAAAGACTAAATCTAATTGTTACTAATTAATAAAAAAATATAGGAAACATAAAATTAATATTATATAATTTTGAAAGTTAAAAAAAAAAAAAGAAAAAAAGAAACTGTAACGTAACGTATGATAAATTTTTACATATTTTAATGAATCGTTGCCAATTTGCGACTGCCGTTGCCATGCACATCAATCAAACGCACTATAGACGGCTCTGATTCATCCACGTGTCATATACCACTTTCTACTTAGTCTTGAAGGCTCTGTTTCTCTCTCTATAAATAAAAAGCAATAAAAGATGTTTGTGAAGAACACCCAAATTCCGGTATGCCAATAGAAAATTGAATTCTTAGTCAAACCATTTTCTCTGGTTTTTCCACACAGAATCATTCTTAATTACAGATATGAATTCTCCTTCCTTGTCCTTTCCGACCAGCAACCTCTTCTTCTTCTTCTTCTTATAACCTCGTATCTCTCTGTCTCTCTGTTTTTCAGCTCCTTTGATCCTTTTTGTTTCAGTTCCCTTCTGGGTTTGGTTCTTCGAGTTGTTTTGAGAGATGGGTTTGAGTTCGAAACAGGTTTCGATCGATGTATTTGATTGGAGCAAGACGCTTACGCCGCCAAAGAAACTGACAAGCGCCGCCGTGAAACGATCGCACCACCACCAAAATCCGTCACAAACTGAGCAATTAAAGTGTCCAAGATGCGATTCAACCAACACCAAATTCTGTTACTACAATAATTACAACAAATCTCAGCCGCGCCATTTTTGTAGAGCTTGTAAACGTCACTGGACCAATGGTGGAACTCTCCGAAACGTCCCTGTTGGTGGCGGCCGTAAAAACAAACGCTTAAAGAAAAAACAAATCCCCAAATCCTCCTCCTCCTCCTCCGCAGCAGCCGCCGCCGTCGCCGCCGTAGACGGCGTGATGATAAACACCCAATTTTCCCTTCCTCTGTATCAAGGACTGATTTTCCCTCCGCCGCCGCCGCCGCCATCGTCGACCAACTGGCTGGAATGTGAAAACTTCACTACAAATTACGGAATTCTCAATTCTCAAAACGCAGATTTCTCAGGCGTTTCAACAACAACGGATCAAAAATTGAAGGCCATAGAAACAGAGCAACCCAACACCACCGGTACACATCATCCATGGCAGCTTCCAACCACCAGCTGCAGCGGCGCCGACATGTCGAACAGCAGCTACTGGAGCTGGGAAGACATCGACACCTTCGCCACAACTGATCTCAATATCCTATGGGACGTCGATCACGACATCAAACCTTAAAACACAGTATATAATATAGTTTTTTTTTTTTTTTTTTTTTTTTTTTTTTTTTTTTTGCTATGTTCTTATTAAATTACATATGAAATCGAGTTAAATCCGTTTGAAAATTTTAATGGGAAATGGAAAATGAAGGTTTTTTTGCATTAAATTGAATGGAAAATGATGAACACCGAAAGGATGGGGTCTGAACCAGTAGGGCTTTGGGGTGACAGAATGTGATGGAAGATTCTCTTTGTGGATATATAAATTTAAATTTCATTAATTCTTTTTTATTTTATTTTATATGTCTTTTTAAAAAAATGACATTGCTTGGATTCCTTCATTTTTAATTTTTATTTTTATTTTTTAAAACATATTACAAAATGGAAGAGAAATCAATTATGAATTTTCCGTGTGCAATTTAGAAAATATTGAAATTATTTTCCTAGTTGGAAAATGAAAAATTAGATCCTCCCTCTTAGGGCATACAAATTGGACATATCTAGTCAGCACCTACCCCTATCCCTTCCTTCCACGTTGGAATACATAAATTCCCAAGAAAATAGAATTAATATTTAAATTAATTAATTTTAATAAATTACTTAATTTTTGTTAGAGTCTACCATTGTCACAATTCGTGCTGGATTTAATAGGGCAATCTCGAGCACGATATAACATGTTTTTGTCTTCCTTCTTTCGATTTCATGACCTCAATTTTGCTTTTGTCTATACTTGCTTCCTTAAACCCTAACTCCCAAATCTATTTTTCGTACCGGTTTAGATTTGTTCGTATAAATAAATAAATAAATAAATATATATATATATATATATATATATAAAAGGAAGTAAAAATAATTAATGAGAGTATTTATGAAGGCATTGAATTTAGGGCAAAACATAATCATGAACTTATGTGTTTCGAAAACAGTTTAAAAAATGACACAATAAAAGACTAAATAAAATAAATAAAAGTTTAAATTAAAAATATTCTTATCCTCTAAGAAAATAAATATGACTACTTTATACATGTGTCATAGTCTCGAGTTGCACTGTTGTCGTCAGCGGACAGTGGTTTTAGTATTTAAAGAAATACTCAGTAACCCTATCATTTCAATCTATTTTCCTAAGGTAATGTTCTAACGGGTAATTTGGATGTATACCATATACTCTACACAGCCCATACGTGCGAGTATGGACTCACCAGTCAGTTCGCATACTACTGAACCACCTTCCTTGTCAGGCGAGCATACTCTAGAAGTTCCTTAAGCCAGACACCGGTTAGAACTAGTAACTGTCATGGCAGCATTATGTAAAACGTAATGATCGTACCCCTGCCCATTAGTGTATGCGTTCGTACCAATAGGGGTATCCCCTGATGCATGAGCACACACAATGCATGAGGTCTCAATATTTTTCCATTGTCGACATTATTAAATATAATCTCATTATTGTATTACATTCATATCATATCTTTTATAATTTTTTCAGTTTTCATATAATGCATAATTCTAATGGGGTTATATTTCATGTCATTTATCGTCATATCATGTCATTCATAACACGATGTATACGTACAATTTAGGAGACATAACATAACGCTCTATGCTTTTAACATATCATTTCATAACGTGCGATTCATACAATAATTACCTCAAGGACACACAAAACAATCCAAATGTAACATATCACATCACAATATATCTATCATAAACATGTCAATTGATCACATGCCTCATACCATAACATATTTCGAATCATTTTCATATTATATATATATATATATATATATATATATTCGTTCTTCATATGTCGTATCATAATCATATCATATGGTAAACACTTCGTGGTCATATCCTTCCCTAACTTATCATTGCCTTAACGTCCTTAGACATATCACAATCGTATCGTTACCTGAACGTACCTTAGTTGTAGCGTTACAAGAACATATCCTAACGCTACCGTTCTATCAATCTATCATAATTCTATACCTTTCTACCCACAACCTGATCATATTCTTTTATTAATCTCTCATATCATAGCACTTCGATATGTAACCTAACTTTAACGTTTCATGAACATGTCTTACTTCTATATTTACATTACGTTTAGTGCATCCTTCTCGTATCCTATCTCAAACATATCATTGAACACATCGTACTGTAAGTATTATCATATAATTCACATATTATAAACATATCATAAGCATATCGATTCATAAACAATTCACACATATGAATATATATGGCACGTGCAGAACCACGGGCACGTATCATTTTTTCTTTTTTTTCTCTATAAACATTCAAATCATGTTACAAAATTTTAAAAAAAAATCACAATAAAATTCAAGAGGACGAAAAAAACGTATGAATGTAAGAAATAATTCCAATTTTATGTAATAAAATTTAAGAAGACTGGTGCCAACAGTTCATCACGGAAGAAAGGACTCACTAAGTCGAGATTACTAACTAATATTAATACTAATCTAATACTAATAGAATAGAAAATAACTGTCTTTTCTGTTTACTTTCCCTGGTTCCGTTGCTACCGTGAGCTTTACGCAATCAATCGAATCATATATATATCCCTTTAACACAACATAGGTCATCAAAAGGATCTCGGAGACCCACCAAAGCACGAAAGTCAGAATCTTTCAGAAAATGGATTCATATTCGAAGAGTGCATAACCGCATGGATAAGCTCACACTAACCAATCAATTTTGGATCCAATTGGAATTTTCCTTGGGAGGTATCCGGAAGGAATTGGAATGTAATAATATCAATCCATACAGATATAGAAGAAAAGGTTATCTATTGATTCAAACACTGTACCCGCAGGATAGGGATAGAGAAAGAGGAAAAAAACGAAGATTTCACATAGTACTTTTGATCGAAAAATCAATCTGATTTATTTCGTATCTTTCGTACCGATTTTTTCGCCTCGGTATTGCGACTCGTATTACTGTCTCTATGAGCTGGCTCGTATGCTGCGATCCAATAAATGGATCGCGCCGATTTTTTGGAATGTTAAGCCGTCGGAGCTCCGAGTTGCCGCTGATAATAAAAGGCTCAGCCGCTTCGCTTGGGCCGTTGAGGAAGCTAAGTATACTGTCGGCTTGTCTTTCGACTCCACAAATGGGTACAATTTAAATTTATCCTAATAAATATATAATGTAATTTTTTATTATTATTATTATTATTATTATTATTATTATTATTATTATTATTATGGTGTGCAGTGATTGGTCGGAGCTGCTCACCAGTGTTTCAGGTGCAGTGATGAAGTTGGTCGAGGAAGATGAAAGATAAGATTTGGTACCAATAGAGATAATATTTCTTGGTTATAAATTATTGGTATAATATTTCTTAATTATAAACCCCCGATTCTCTAAATTAGTCGATGTGAGACTTTCATCCAACAATAATGTCTTTCTTTTTTATCCATTATAATAATGTCTTTTTTATATACGTAAATCATAATTCAAACCAATAGAAATTCATTGAAATTCTCTTAACCAATGGAACAATAAAATTAATTTACTATAAGAAGAAAAGTGTATGATATATATATATATACACACACATGTAACAAACATAGAAGAGGGGAGATGATAAAGCAAAAAATACTATATATATTTTTACATTTGGAAAGGAAAAGAGTTTTTGACAGATTTAATTTTCTATCTTTTCTATAAATTTCTAATTTTTACAACCTGTGGGATATACTTCGGGAATGGGGTGTAAACAGAGTCCACAGAGGGATCAAACTGTGTGTGAGAAAAGAATTGAGTGGCCAAAAATGGATTCAAAGATTTCTACAAAATGCTATTCACAAATCATCTGGTTGGCCGACTAATCTAAATATGTCGGACAACTTGCTTTCCAAAAATGGAGCCAATGCAGGCAGCCTTCACCACCACCCAAAACTTCATATCATATGTGCATATGATGTTATGATGTTAGCCTAAATCATCAGCAGCCAATTCCAAAGAATAATCGGAAGTATATCTATCATCACATCATAAAAAGGTAGTCCAGGTCTTCTACTGTGAGACGAGTTTGTTGACCGCCTGCTTTGTCTTCTCCAAATGCAGATGAAACCATTTCTCTTTTCTTTTGCTGCATAAAACAAATGAATGCATATAAACAATCAATTAACCAACAGAAACGGATGCAGAAATTCAGATCACACGACGTCCCTGATTATTAACACTTGTGCAGGAACAGACATGTAAATTCATGGAGAAAAACACACAGGGACACTTTGAAAGAATTATAACATTTTTTCGCATTCTATCACAAATCCATTGTGCCTAACCATCCCCATACATAAATATGTGGGCAAATATGATAGTACAGTTAGGTTGGGGGAAAAATTCAAACAGAAATATAGTGTCCCAACCTAAGAAGCAATATACAGACACAATGACACTAATTTTTAAAAGTTTAGTACCGAGGCAAAGATACATTTTTTTGTCGAGTCCTTATTGTAAGTCCTTATATATTCTTTCATACAAAAATGGAGGGAAATGATCAACATAGCTAATGTCAACCAAAGCCTTGTTTAACAATAATATATGTAGCTAATCTGTTGCCGACTAGGATTGATCATTACATAATTTCTGTTCAAGGCTGGAAAGCGAGAGAGAAAGAAAACCATGAGAAGGAGAGTTGGAAGAAAAGGCAAGTGGTGAAGGAGAACAGAATCAGTGAAGGCGAACAGAATCAGTGAAGGCGAGGTCATGGGTCTCACCGCCGTTGAACATTGCTCGCTGAAAATGAGACCTGAAGAGATGGGGCTAACAAGGGCGAGGGGTCAGAGAGAGGGGGGGTGGGGGGGGGGG